TCCATAGAACCTATATCATCTCTCAGCATCACCCTGATGTCGTCCTTGAATATCAGAGCTACACCACCTCCCTTACCTTCCTGTCTGTCCTTCCGAATAGTCTGGTACCCTTGGATATTTAACTCCAATAGTTCTTCATCCCTTGGTAATCAAGAATCTATCTGGCACTGCCTTAAAAACTGCCAAGTGTGGACATTGGACTGCTGGAAAATGAGGCTGGAGAAGTAGTATTGGGAAACAAAGAAATGGCAGAGGAACTGAATAGTCAGTGAGCTACTGGGGTAACCATCTTATCCACTTCCAATCGGTTTCCATCAGTCTTTACAGTGAAAGACATCAGTAGCATACCAGAACTTCAAGAGAGTCAGGGGCAAAAGTAAGTGTAGTGGTTATTACCAAGAAGGTGCTGGCGAAGCTAAAAGGTCTAAAGTGGATAAATCCCATCGGCCAGATGGACTTCACCTCAGAGTTTTGAAGGAGATAGCTGAGGAAATTGTAAAGGTGGTGATCTTTCAGGAATCACTTGAGTCAGGAAGGGTCCTAGAGGACTGAGAGTGGCTCATGTAACACCCCTGATTAAGAAAGGTGGGAGGCAGAAGATAGGGAACCAAATGCCAGTTAGCCTGAATCTCTGTTGTTGATAAGAGTTTAGAGTCCATTATTAAGGATGAGATTGCAGAGTATTTGGAAGTGCATGGTGCAAATAGGGTGGAATCAGCATAGCTTCATGAAGGAAGTTAGGAAGGCTAATGCAGTGTTAGCATTCATTTCAAGATGGCTTGAATACAGGAGCAGTTACTGTGGATATATAAGGCTCTGGTCAGACCACATTCGGAATATTGTGAGCAGTTCTGGGTCCCATATCTATGGAAGAATGTGCTGGTGTAGGAGGGGGTCCAGAGGAAATTTATGAAAATGATCCCGGGGATAAAGGGCTTGTCATACGAGGAGTGTTTGTGGACTCTGGGTCTGTACTTGATGGTGTTTAAAAGTCTGAGAGGGCTCTGTTTGAAGCTTACAGAATAGTGAGAGGCCTGGATAGAGTGATGTAGAGACGATGTCTCCACTAGTCGGAAAGAGGAGGACCTGAGGACACAGCCTCGGTGAAGGGCTGACCCTTCAGAATGGTGGTGAGGGAGAATTTCTTCAGCCAGAGGGTGGTGAGAGTGTGGAAGGGTGGAGGAGATGAAGGGTCTAGGCCCGAAACGTCAGCCTTTCTGCTCCTATGCTGCTGCTTGGCCTGCTGTGTTCATCCAGCCCTGCACCTTGTTGTCTCAGCCATGATCGAATGGCCAAGCAAACTCAATAGGCCAAATGGCCTGATTCTGCTCCTATATCTTTTGGTCTAAAATCCAAGAATTCTTTTAGCAGAATAAGTCCTATCTTAAATAAAAACCGAAAGAACTGTGGATGCTGTAAATCAGGAACAAAAACAAAGTTGCTGGAAAAGCTCAGCAGGTTTGACAGCATCTTTGAAGGGAAAAACAGAGTTAATGTTTCGAGTCCGGTGACCCTTCCTCAGAAGACCCTTCCTATCTTATTTTATTTGGAGACTGTAAGGAGAGAGCACGATTTTAATCCAGACTGAAGGGTCTAGGCCCGAAACGTCAGCCTTTCTGCTCCTATGATGCTGCTTGGCCTGCTGTGTTCATCCAGCTCTGCACCTTGTTGTCTCGGATTCTTCAGCATCTGCAGTTCCTACTATCTCTGGTTATTTTCTTTGTTGTTTTATAGCACTTTCCAGTGTGGTACTGTTTCAAAATTTGCTGGTAGTGAATTACAGAAAAAAACGAGGGAAAATGATTTACATTCCCAACTTCAAGATTAATATTGCGGTAAAGGCAAGGTCAGAATGTCCTGCAGGGCTGCTCAGTCTTAGACGGTTTGTAGTGGTTAACCTCAGCCCAAGTGGGAACTAAACCTGCACTGTCAGCATCAGTCTGCATCACAAACCAGCCAGCCAGTCAACTGAGCTAACTGGCCCCCAGGATGAATATTGTGGTGCATTTGTAATGTCTTGCAATTACTTAAATGTTGATCTCAGAATCTAAGAAGCATTGTTTAAAATTGATATTATTAATTGATAGAAAATTAAAAAGAACTAATTATGCACCTTAAGTTATTAGAGCTATGAATATATTAAGTTGTATACATTATAAGTGCTAGAAAACCGTTTTGTCCTAAGCTGCGGACTGCTACAAAAGGAGTAGGAAAGTTGACATTTTCCATAAGTAGAGTGGGGATGTTATTGCAGATATAGAGTCAGTGACCAGTGCTCAGGACAGCAGCTCACAACAGCATTTGGCAGATGGATTGATAGAAGCTTTGGAGCTTTTGATGTTTTTGTCATAATATAATTTATTTTTGTTTAGTTTTTAAATAAATAAGCTTCCCCTCATTTTCTCCATGTATGTGTTAATGCCACATTGACACATTTTGGTTGAAATTTTCCATTTAAGTGTTTTACTGGAAGGCAGGATCATTTTCAGATGGTAACTCCAATCACTGCAGTTACAGGACTGCATCCTCATGGCAGTCCAGTGTGCACTCACCTCCTGTGAATTGTCGAGTTGCAGTGGCTGTGGGAGATTCATGCGCCATTAATATCTCTTTACCACTTCCTACCACCCCCAAGGGCTTGATATAATTTCCTCAATTGTTTCTCACGTCAGTCAGTGTCTGAAATGACCTTGACTCGGAAGGTGCTAGTGATGTGTTCGGTTCTGAATTCTCCTTTGAAGATTCACACGTTGCTGATGAAATGGTTGTTTTTCTTCCCATCTTTCATAATATTCCCAACTGAAACATCAGTGTGTACAATGACCTCACTTTCCACAAAGCAGATGTTGGTTGGCTTTTCCTGTAGGGATTTATCTTCAGAGTGATGTGAAGAGTGGCGATTTTACCATTGTTTTGAGACAATCCCATCAGCTTTTCTTTTTCTCCAGCAACCACTCATTTGTTGGTCCTGTTCTGAGGAAATGGACTGAGCATCTGAAAACGTCAACATATTTTGGCGAATGAAAGTGCGCAGTCTTGACATAATGAGCTCTCAAAGTTTGGATCAAAGTCTAGACGTGATCAAAGTACACAAATCCAACCTGACCCATCAGTCCACTCTTGATCGTCAGTAACCTGATAGACAACATTGCTCTCAAGCAGCATTTACATAGCAATAACCTGCTCACTGATGCTGAGTTTATATTCTGCCAGGGCCACACAGCTCCTGACCTCATTACAGCTGTGGTTCAAACATGGAGAAAAGAGCTAAATTGCAGAGATGACTTGAGAGTGACAGCCCTTGACATCAGGGCCACGTTTCTCATCCAATGAATGAAGAAAGAAAAATGTCTTGCCAGCAATTGTTTAATGATCTTATGTTGGATTGGCTTAAAGGGAGACTGTGTGTTGTGTCTGATATAAATTGCCTGTCTGCTGGATACCAGAAACTTGTTGCACAGTTTTAGTGAGACTGCTGGAACAGCAGCGTGCTCCTATCTCAGGGGATTTGTACCGTTACATAATTTGTCGTGATGTTTGAATTGTTAATTAGTAAGCTGTAGGTGTGTGGCTTAAATAATGCATCTGAGCATTTAAATAGGATGCAAAATACTTGAAGGGTAAGGTTAAAGGGTGAAGTTAATACTTGAAGGTGACGCAGGTAAGATGTTTCCCCTGGCTGGGAAGTCTAGAAACAGCATGTACAATTTAGAAATAAGGGAGATGCCACATAAGTCTAAGGTGAGGAGAATTTTTTTTAACTCAGAAGTTTGTGAATCTTAGGTGTTTTCTGCCACAGAGGGCTGTGTAAGCTCAGTCTTTGAATGTGTTTTAGGCAGAGATTGACAGGTTTCTGATTATCAATAGTGTACTAGAATATGGGATGTGGAGCATTGAAGCATTCAATGGATGGGCTGAATGGCTGACTCCATTTCCTATGTTTCCATTACTCTTATTAACTCAGAAATTTCATTAGCATGTATTGTACATTAAAAAAGTCTGTATTCCATAGATACATTTATGCAGACACATAATAGAAAGGATTTATAGCACAGAAAGGGGCCATTTGGCTCAGCTGGTTCTTTCGGTGTAAATGCATTATCTCAGCTTCTTCCCGCAGTACTTCATCTAAACCTGTCAACGTGTCCTCCTGATCCTTTCCCTCTCATGAATTAACTAACTTCCATTAAATACATCTGTGCTGTTTGCCTTCACTACAGTTTCAAGTTTCATATTTAAACACTCTTGGTAAAGGAAGTTTCTGTTTAACTTATGACTGGATTTAATAGTAATTAAATATTTTGTTTATGGCCCCAAGTTTCGGATTTGCCTTTAACTGGCAATACCTCCACTACAGCTACCCTATTGAGCCTCCATCATAACTTCACTCACCTCTATCCCTCTGCTTTTGAGTGAAAAGAGCTGCAGCCTGTTCAATCTTTCCTGTTAACTTTAAGCTCTCAGTTACACTGGATTGCATTATATAGGACACAAACAGACCATTCAGCCCAACTAGTCCATGCATGTGTTTAAACCACTCATGCCTCCTCCACCTTTTCCCATCTAAATCTACCACTGTGAGCCTCTATTCCTTTCTCTCTCATGCTTGTCTAGTTTCCCCTTAAATAAATCTCCCATACTTCATACTATTCATTCCAGCCACTCCTTGTGGCAGCGAAGTTCCACATTCGTACCACTGGTACCTGGTATTGTTATCATAAATCTGTGTTGCTGCCTTCTCCAATATCCCGCTCTGCTTTATTTTGCAGTCTGGAGATCAGAAACGTGCACCAAATGCAACGCATATAACCAAATATCATAATTCTATTGGCAGCTGCAGATCTAAAATGTAATTTTGAAAATGTGAGGAATTGGAGATTGTAAAGTTGTGCTGGAATACTGTTTATGCTCAGTGACACTTGCATGATTCTATGCCAAAAAAAAACAAATGAAGAGAGTGGCTCTAGAAAGATAAAAATAATGCTGAGATTTTATTCTAGGCAATGAAGTACTGGAGTTTGCGGAATATGATCCAAACCTGCTGGATGACCCACAGTGGCCATGTGGAAAACATAAAAGAGTTCTGATCTTCCCTTCCTATATGGTAGGTGCCTATGTATGCAGCCACAAGGCTGTAGAAATCATATCTGCAGTTTTGCTAAAACATCCTTGTTTCTGTGCAAACGTTACTACAGAGCATCACTGCATAAGTACTATTGTGAATAATGCATGTCCATTGAAGGTGTCAAGAATGTGAATAAACATGAAGCAATGCGAGGGAGGGTTAAAGACCTCAGAGTGATGTTTCCAAGAAACTGGGGGGATTGGCCAGGCTGATCCAAATAGGAATAGCCAAGATATCCAAACAGCAAGTAATGTGGGTTTAAAAATGGGGATTTCAGATTTCCAAAATTGGTTAAAAATTGGAAGCTAGGAGTTAGTAGAAAAATTAAGTTGATCTGTTTTAAACTTCTGTTCTCTCATGAAGCAGTACCTTTACTGATTTTGAGTTCCTTCTGTGTGGTTTTCTCTCTGGTGTCTTGCCAAAGTTGTATTGACATGTGAATCCAGGCAGTGAATGTTGCAGCTTTTTGAATATTGAAGGTGTCACATGCAATACCCATTACTTCACAAGCAGCCTGCACACAAACAGAATTTCTGGTGAAAATTACTGATGTAGAAATTGCTGTCTAATTGGGTCAAGTAACGGGTGCAATGCGGATGAATTTAACTGTAGGGCTTCCAGTGCCCAGTCTGCGCAGTAGTAGTTTGATTTTCTTAAGTTTCCCATCTCTCTGGAGGGTGGAGGAGCAGAAATGCTCCTGACTGTGCAAGAAACCCCAATTGACTCGCTGTTCCTCCTGGGACTCAGCTGAGAAAAGTCACTGGGGAGGCAAGCAGCTGTCATCGATCTGTTCCCTTGGGCCTGCTCCCTGGGCCAGAATGTGCTGACAAGGCCCAGAGATCAATCCTCTTCAGAGCTCCCTGATTGGGCAGGCTGATAAACAGGCTGTGACTAAAATCCACCTGCTCATGCAGCAGACCAACTTTGTCTCTTTCTTCCAAACCCTGCAACCAGTTTTAATTCTCCTGTTGTCATCTGGCTGAGATGAATGAACTAAGATAGAACCGGAATCGAACAAGTTCTCTGGTACGCTTGCCTTTAACAGTGTAGCATACTGGCAGAAATGTGTTGAGCAAACCATTGTGGGAATGATTGATTTTGCATTACTTTCAATCATTTATTATCCTTCAAGAGAACAGTGGAGGTGCAACTTGAGCTGTCTTGAGTAATGAGCTTTCTTTACTGTTTAGAACCTGGCTGAATGTGATTATTTATTCATGTTGCTGAAGGTAACAAAGCAAGCAAACATCCAAGGTGTAAAATGAGAGCTTTGCTCTAAGCCTTGACATGATGAAGGGGATCCTAATGTTTTAGTCCTTAATTCTTTCACTCCCAATTATAAAACATAGAATCTAGAAAGATTAGGACCTATGATTTTAAATTGCAGCATTTATAGAATGACAGTTTAAGTGTTTTTAGCCTTTAAGCAGTAATGCCTATCCTGTGCTCTGTCTCCTGACTGGCTGAAAGCAAAATGCTGCAGATGCTGAAAATCTGGTTCATAAACACAGAGAATGCTGGAGAAACTCAGCAGGTCTGGCAGTATTGCTGGAGAGACGAACAGAGTTAACGTTTCAAGTCCAGCGTGACTGTGAAGGTGAGTCAGAGCTTGATCTGCTGAGTTTTTCCAGCATTCTGTGTTTGTCCCATAATGTGTTTGTCCCATAATGTGTTTGTCCCATA